TGCGACCCGAGCGAGCCCCATGCCCCGCGCGGGCTGACGGGCCGGAGCCCGCACGGAGCGGCCGGGCCGGACAGGTAGGTGGCGGGCCGAGCCCGGGGATGCGGGTGGGGGCTGGGCCGGCGACCAGACCAACTCCCTAGCTCGCGCACTCTCTCGCCCGCTCACTGGCTCACTTTGTGTTTGCAAACTGCCCGCCGGAGACGCGCCGGGCGCCGGGAGGAGCCGGGCCCAGGCCGGCGCACTTTGTTCCAGCCGGGGCCGGCTGCGGCGCCCTGACCCCGCGCCGCCACCACACCCCGCCCCCGGCCTGGGCCCCCGCGGCCCAGAGCCGCCTTTGGAACAGGTGGGGGCTGCGGCGGGGAGGCGGGAGGTGGGGGCAGCCGGAGGTCGGCGGCTGGGGGGGGGCTGGAAAGGCTACTGAGGCCCGCCCTTCCCCCAGAATCTGGGCCCCGCCCCCTCCCGGCCTGGCCGCTGGGAGTGGGGTGTAAGGGGGCGCGACCCCCCCCGCCCCCCGCCCGAGTCAAACAAAGAGTAATTCCCGGCCCGGACTTTCCTGAGCTGGGGAGGGAAGTGGTGGCGCGAGCTCCCCCAACCCAACCCCAGTCTGTCCAGGATTCCCCGAGACGCGCCGGAGGCAGATGGGGGGGTGGGGGGGATCGCGGTCGCACCCGCCGCGTCGCCTCGGGTGAGAAGGGGACTTGTTTTGCTGAGGTCGCACCTTGGAGGTTCCGGGGCCAGTCAGCCCCGTTCCCCCGTGGCTCGGCCAGCTCGGAGATAGAGTGGAAAACTTCTTGGGGACTTGAGAGCGTCTGGAAACGGCCTCTGTGATTTTGTGTGCCTGTGCTGGAGGGCGGGGGACGGACCCGGCGGATACCTTTATTCACCCCGTTTAGGAAGAGCCACCCCCACCCCCACCCGCCTCACCCTGTTGGGGGGAAGGGGAGGGCGGCAGCAGGGTTCCGAGGCCCCCAGGGAAGAGGGTTCCCAAGTGACCAAGCAGGACCCTTCCTCAGATTGCCGACCCCAGTGTCTCCTCCGGACAGTCCCCCCCACGGACGCCTCTCTGACCGGCAGTCACCCCGGCGGCGCTCCGGCCTCGCGCTCCGCGTCAACGCCAAACTAACTTGGGGCTGAGCCCGGGCAAAGCCTGTGGCGCTAGAATGCGGGGCGCCCTGAGCGACCCGGGGTCCCGGCCTCCCCGGCAAAGGACCGTGTGATTTCGCGGGACGCGGATTCTGAGACAGAGGCCCTAACGGCTGTGGATGCCTTCCTACAACTGGGGCGACCTCGTGAACACGGCCGCATCCCTCCCGGACCCTCTAGGTTGGGGGAAGATGATATGGGAACGCGGAGACCCTGAGCCTATAGAGCGCCAGGCTCATCCCTTTGCACTCCGGCTCCTCTTGCCAACCCCCGCCGGACGGATTGCCTCGCTCCCTCGGCGCCTGGGCTTGAAGGCGTCTGGAGATCGCCGTGTGTCTCGCACCCCAGCACCGGGTCTCCCTGCAGATTGGCCGCAGAGCCTGGAGCAGGGGTTCCGTTGGGGGAATGAAAGAGCAAACCCGAGTCTGAAGCTGTCATCCCTGCGGTTCCTGAGAAAGCCCAGGAACATTTTGGCCAATGCGGGTTTTTACTTGAACTTCGGCATCTTCCTGCCCCGTTTTCAAGCACCGCCTGGATTGTCCCAGGGCGAACTGTGTTGGGTCTGGGATTGAGGGCCCCGGGAGTGAAGCTTGAAGGGCAGCAGGGGTTGGAGCCGGAGACTGGCCAGGGTGCCGCCATCTCCCACGCAGAAATAAGGAGCAGCGGGACCGTCTGTACTGTCTGTAGCCGAGGGAGGGTCTAACCTGCCCCACCGGAGAGCGCAGTGGGTAACCCAGACTGGAACACCGAGAATTTGAACCCAGACTCTCACTTTCAGCAGAGAACCGGGACTGAACGCTTCCGGCTCTGGGCATTTCAAGCCCCTGACTCTCCTGGTGAGCCAGCGGGTGGTCACAGGGGCCGGAAGGGCAGGGATGGCCGTGTCTCAGCTGCCCGAAAGAGAGACCCTCGCTTCAGACAGCCCCTGCCCTAGACAGTCCCCACACAAACCTGCAGAAAATTGCTTCGGGGAACGGGAAGTCTGCAGGCTTGTTTTGTTTTGTTTTGTTTTAAACTTGAGAAACTTTGTCTTGCCTGGGTTCTGGGATTCTTTGTCACCTGGCAGGCTGGAGAGAGGGCCTCAGGACTGCTGTAGGCACCTGGACGGCTTGCTTTTTCTGGCTGCTTTAGATCTGAGCCTCTCAAAAGCAGGGATGTGCCTGGGGGGGTGGGGGGAACTCCCTATCTGGTATTGCTCCGACTCTTGTCAGCTGGGCAAGGTAGCATGGGAAGGAGGTGGTGCTGTGGGGGCCCGGTCCCCCAAACATACCCAGGACCCCAGCAAGATGGGAATCTCTTCTCCCAGACCCTCGGCCCACCACCTTACTCTGGTCCCAGCCTTAGCACTGAGTTGGGGAAGACCATGGGAACCCTTTCTCTTGGCACTAAGCTATGTTGAGTGTCTGGGTGGGGTTTTCTATCCTTCTCCCAGTCCTGGGCAGGTTTCCCAGGAGTTATGGAGTTGGGGAACCCCTGAGCCCTGGGGAGAGAAAGGCTTGACACCAATGCTGGGAAATGCCAGGGGTAGGGCAGGTTGGACCCAACTTGCAAGAGGACCTGCCCCTGTCCCTTTCTGTGTAGGTACCCTTCTCACACCTAGACACTGATACCCTTACCCCCTTTCCTCTGCCTTTGGCTAGAAACTTCCTTTCTGACTGCTGGCAGGTAGCTCCCTTTTTGCCAGGAATGTGCATATCCTGCTGGGCCCCTACTCCAAACACACCTCTTCCTTAGGGGGAAGAAGGCAGGGGGACATGGGGGGGGCTTCCTTCAATCCAGCAATTCCCCAAGTGTTTGCTGAGCCCCTACTCTGTCTGGGCAGGTCCCAGGCTGGGTACTAGAGAGCCCAAGCAAGAAGGCTGGGGACTGTTCTCTGATCCTCCTATTGCCCGGGTAGGAGAGACAGACAAGATGTCACATCAGGGAGAGGAGAATGGGAGCAGGGTGTCTGTTTCAGAGGACAAATGTGTGCTGCAAAGGGAAGGAAGGGTCATCTCAAAAAGAACCCCCCCCGCTCCACTATACCTGGCCTGGCCGCACCCTCTTTCCCGACATCCTAACCCTTCCCTGTGCCACTGCCTTGGTAGTTTGCCTGTCTTTCCAGCTGAAATGCAAGCCCCTCCACGTCTATCCCCAGCACAATGACTTTACTTTCCTAGTAGCCCAAATTGTGCTAAATAAGAATTTCTTCTACCCAAGGAGCTCCACACAGTGTCCCATCATGCTCTTACAACTCTCCCAGCTTCCCCAGAACCAAGGCCAGGCAGGTGCTACTTTTGACAGGATTCTACTGGCTGAAATGGTTTCCTTGGACTTGGTTCCAGAACTCTGGAGCCCGGGGCAAGGAACTGGGGCCTGCCCAGGGCAGAACATGGGTCAGGGTGGAAAAGGCTTTGGAACCCGCCAGCTGTTACGGGACTCTGGGGAACTTAATGAAGCTCTTGGAACCTCAGTTTTCCTCTGTGTAAAGTGGGTCAATAATACCCACCTTAGAGAGTCTGTTTGGGAGTTGAATGTAAAGTACCTAGCATGGTGCCTGGCACTTGGCAGTGCTGACCAAGGGGTGGTTTTTATTACTAGATTCCCAGTACGGCCAGGACACACGTTGGACTGAATACTGGAAATGCTTATGTTTTAACCTCCATTTCACGAGCTGGGGAAATGAAGCCCAGAGAGAAGAAGCAACTTGTCTGAGGTTACACAGGTTACTAAGGTACCACCTTAGTGGTAGAGCCGGGGCTAAAATGTGGGGCTCCTAACTCCCAGTACAACCAGTAGGGCTTGAGCCTCTGCTGTGGGGAAGGGAGAAAGGAGGGGATGGGAGGGCTTGTCAACTCCCCCCTCGCTCCTTTACAGACTCGGGCCTGGGCTGCCCCTCTGCCCTGAGGTGAGAAGGCTGTGTTTTTTCCTCCTGCCTTCCCTTTAAGGGAGGGTCTACGTTCAGAATCTGGCATTTCCCACCTGCACTTAACCCTGGAACAATGCAGTCATATGTTACCCACCCCACCCCCCCCACACACACCACCCTTTTAAGGTGCTCATGAAGACAAATAAAAATGCGAGGGATAATTCCCCAGAGTGTAGAGGAGGAAAATGGCTGGCACCACCTCCAGAAGGGAGACCTCTGGGGTTTGGAACCCTAACCTACACAGTCTTACGGAAGACAATTTTGGCCACCAGTCTTAGATCAATTCGGGACCTACCTGTGGATGGATCATCTCAAAGAAGAAAAAAAAAATACCTGACTTTGGCCTAAAGTTCCTGGCTTTTTCAGCATTGCCTTCCTGGATTCTCCATGGGAATGCACCCCTTCTTCACCCAGTCCCACCATGCTAGGATCACAGCAGGAACCCTTTACCAAGCCTTGTGGCTGCCCATGCAGTGGTCTCTTGAGATGGCATGGGGGGATGGGGCTTACGGAGCCTGGACTCAGGGCACACCTGCCTGAGCTAGAAATCCAGAGCTCCTAGCACAGAAAGCGCACGAGTCAAAGTGTCCTGTGCCTTGAGGGGTCCATCCAGGCCTGGGCCTGACGGATGTCCTCCCTTCCCTTGATCCCCGTCCCAGGCCTCCTCCTTTCCAGGTCTTTGCCAGGCTGTCCCTCACTCCAGTGCAGGCCTGCACTTTCTCCCCACCCTGGCCAGAGCCATGCAGCCTGTGCCTGGAATCCCAGTAGCTCTGCTGACCTCACAGGTCCCAATCCTCTGCCCAACTGGAGCCTCCAGAGCTGGGGCCTGAAGGCCATTGGGCTCACTGGTGGTACTGGACAGAGGTAAATGGCATTTTCTCTGCCACTCCAAGCTGATTCCGATGGAACCTGACCTGGGCTACCATGCATATAGGGCAGGGGAACAAGATGGTAGGTTTTCCTCACACAGTAAGAGTGGAGTGTGTGGACTAGTGACCCTTTGGCGTTTGTTCGAGGTAGTCAGGGTCAGCAGGTGGAAGTTACCTAGAATTCTCACCGGCAGCAAAGGAGGGACAGAGGATGGCGACTTAAGGGCAGGGTGACTCACGGAACGGAGACCAGGAGGAGGACTGCTCTCCATTCCACAAACACTGTGGCATGCATACTGTGCAGTGGCAAACACAAGGGTTGAGGGGAAGAGGTTTAATAAGAGGTGACTCGATTGCCACTTGGAAAATCAGAAATGGAGCAAGCGCTGCAGGACTGATCTTTCAGATAGGGACTGGGGACTGGAAGCAGGGCTCTGGTCCTGATGCTCCCCGGGGGAGGGGGGTGGGCGACAGGATGCCTCTGCTGGCCTGGGAGAGCCCTCAGGAGGTCTGTGCTGTGTGAAGGGAAACTGGGGGCTGGGTGGGCGAATGGGCTCCCATTCTGGGTTCCTCAGCCGGATGAGCTCCCTCGGATGGGGTTCTGCAGCTCTGGAGCCCACACTTCCGGGAGACCCAGGCTGAAAGAAATTGGTCCCCAAAAGGGTAGCGGTGTACTTCCTCCTTTCCTTCAGGGGTTCCCTGGCCAGATGTGCATCCACACCCTGCGAGGAAGGGCGTGCGCAGCTGGGGAGAATTTTGGGGAGAGATTGAATGGCGGGATTTGCGGGAGACCCAGGGAGTGGCTGCAGCTGTAAGCGTTTAGGGAGCAAAGCGCTGAGCGTGGAGAAGCTCCCTATCTTCTCAAGGCTTCCGCATCACTGGATCGGGGCAGGAGGAGCTTGCGAAGGTCGGGTCTTGTTAAGGATGCAGAGTTGGTCCACCTGGGAGAACCCCTCCTTTAGGAAACCTCTGGGATTTCCCCCGGAGAGCCAGGGCTACTGGTCTTCCCTCCCAGCTCAGCGCACTTGCCCGGGGTTGCTCGCCTTGCCAGCATTTCCCCGAGCCTCCGCGAGCGCATCCGTGCAAGTTGCAGGAAGCCCCTTCATCTCTGAGCTCTGGGACGCAGCCCTGGGACCAGAGCACCAAGAAGGAGCCTGGGGCTTGGGACCCACTCTGCCCAGTGCCTGGGGGTCTAGGGAATAGTGGAAGAGGGGACTGCTGGTCTTTTAGCCAGCGGGAGGGCCGCCTACTCCCCGCGTGCTGTACTCCTCTCACTTGGGGATGACTTAGCAGGTCTGGGTGGTAAACAAGGTCTGGATTCACTGACGAGAGTCACCCCTACGCATGCTGCTACCCACTTCCTAACCCCCTGTAAGACCTTAGGCATGGCCCACTTCTCTCTGGGCCTCGGTTTTCCTAGCTGCACAGCTGACTTGGGAACACCCACAGTCACTTCTCCCAGGCCTCCCCTGGCCGAAGCTGCGGGTTGGGCATCAGGCGAGAAGAGAAGCGGAAGGTCTCAGCGTGCTCCCCCTTTGTTCACCGCGGCCGGAGCCTCCTGCCTCCGTCGCTCCTTCCCGAAAGGGGCGCTGTGGAGTGCGGGGCAGGCGGCCGGCGGTCCGGGCAAGGTTCCTCCTTCTCAATTAGGCGGCGGAGCCTGATTAAAACGGGGTGCTGCCCGCCCCCTCCTGCCCGATCTCCATCGACGAGATTTCCCTTCATCAGAATCTCACATCCTCCAGAAATTAATTTGATGCCTCTTGTTATCAATTAATTGAATCTCGTTGGGAGAGAGAGCTCAGCGAGGCGGGCGGCGGCTTGGCCCTTGTGTGTCGCTGTTCTGCCCTCCCCCTCATATCGGGACAACCTCACCCCCTCCCCATTTCTCTGTTTCTGCCTTGCCTTTAATTCCACTTATTTTCTAAAATAAAACCACCGCTGTGAACCCTTTTGCCCGGTTTGGCTCGGATGGGTACCCATCCATGGACGGGGTGCTGCCTGGGATTCACCCTGAGCTGAGGAGGGGGGCGGGGCAGGGGTTCCTCTCCCCTGGGCCCTGTTCCATCTCTCCGAAAATCAACAGAACCTCACCCTTGGGGAATTTGGCCCTGACCCTGACCCTGTGTACTCCAGGGGCTGCTGGTGAGAAACTTGGAGAGGAGGCCTGGGGGAGGGAGGGCTAGGGACAGACTGCAAGGAGCCTCCCCCACTAGACACACCCTAGTTGGAGGAGGGGACACTGGAGGGCCAGGCTAGGGCCTGTCAGCCATCCGGATTTTGTCCTTGTGAAAGTTTCATCTTTTTTAGAAGAGGCAGTTAGGAGCTGTTGCCCTGCTGGGGCTGATCTGCTCAATGAAGGGAGAGAGGGCACAGATGTGTGGTACCTCCTAGCTGCCCAAGAGCTAAGTCAGGCATCCGCAGGAACAAGAAGGTAAATGAGAGAGGGAGGAGGAAGGTTCTAGAAGACATCCCAGTCTGGGAGGGGGTTGTGGCCAGTACAGGGTACAACTAAGTGGTCACCAGACCCTGACTGAGGGGCTGTGCCTTGCCATTTCACATACCTTCCCTTCCCTTGTCCTGATCCTCACAAAAGCCCTGGGAGATTCTCCAGGCGATGATCTGTATTATTCTCAATTGATGGGTGAGGGACCCAGGCCTGGAGAGGTAATGTAACTTGCCCGGGGTCACACAGCTAACTGGAACCTGCTTCTCTGGAATGCTGGCCATAAGGGCTGAGGTCACAAGTTGACCAACTTCACCCCTTCAGAGTTTTGTTGACCCACACAAAGCTTATTACAAGGGTACATTTCACACAAATATCCCCACTTTGGCTTCTTTTGAAAACCCCAAACCCTGTCAACAATCAGCCTGAATTTCCGCGTGTGGTAAGGACAGACTGGGATTGAATGCCCCGCACTTCTCACCTGGCCTCCTAGGCGACCAGCCTAGCCCCTGAGGGCATTTTGGGTAGTAATTCTGTCTTGGAGATTTCACCTGTCCTCAGTATTCTCCAAGGAAGAGCTGGGGAAAGCGGGGTGGTCTGAGAGAATCTGCGAGGTCTTTACTAGAGCTCAGAGAAGACCTTTAAGGACACCCTGACCCCAGTCGAATTCCCACACAACTGTTCGAAACTGATAGTGGGGGATAATTTTCCTGTTTTTTGACCACGGAGGGGACTTTAGGGTCTTGTGTCTCCAGGAGCCCGTTCTAACCTGAAAGCAGCCCATCCCTGCCCAGGTGAGCCCCTCTATGAAAGTCATCATCACCCTCTTACCTATCCCCCAAACTTATGTATTTTTTGTGGGGGAGGGGAGAGACTTTCTCCCAAGAATGAAACCTCAGGTGGCGACGAGAGAAGAACTGGGCATAAGTCACCTTTCTGGAACTTATTTTGGAACAGAGAAAGATGGGGAAGGATGCTGAATCTTGCGTATTTGGATGTGGATGTGTTCTGGATGCCCCTTGAGTTGGTACCCGAGATCCCTGTAAATGCCACACCTGAACATCATCAGGGGAAAAAGAGAGACGGCCCAGGGCCGGTCAGGGGCAGGTTGGGTGTGAAGCAGTCAGGGGCCCCAGGAAGGGCCAGATCCAGTGGTCTGTCCCAGGCTGGCTGGAGCCCCTCCTTTGCTCACGGGAGCCCCCTGGTGCCAAGGGCACTACCAGAACCAAGGTCCAGATGGCCACTCAGGCCCTGGATGAGTCGCCCCCACCCCTTAACCAGCGGGGGGCCCCCCCACGTAAGACGTCACTATTTAATTAGCCATCTCTGATTAACCAAACTTGGCATTCGGCTTCTCTTGCCCTCATCTTTCCCAGCTCCAAATCAATGGCTTTGATATGCTAATTAGGGAGTAATTTAATTTCAAAAGGCCGCAATTAACAAGGGTGTTGTGGACATGCTGTAGTTAAGCGGAGTAATCTAATTTGCATTAGTAACAAGCAGGGACTAATTAGAAGCTTAATTAGACACTTAGATGGCTCTTATGTTTACTTTCTTAATGAGATGGAGTGGGATCTTTGGTTCTCTTTCTTTCTTTCTTTTTTTTTATTGTTAATTCTTCCTCTTGGTATGGTTCTAGGAAGGAGTGTTGAGGGAGGCCACCTTGCTAGAGCCTGGTGGGAGCATTTCAGGGCCAGGGCCGGTAGAAAGTACACTGGGTGAGGGGGGGTGGGTAGTGGTGAGGAAAGGTTCAGATTCCAGGGAGATTCCAAAGTGACCGCCCTCCAGGCCTTGCCACCTCTGAGGTGGGGTTCAGGAGAAGAGCACTGATTTGGGAGTCAGAAGAGCTGTAGGGTTTCAGTTGGGCTCAGCCTCCTAGCAGCCAGGTGACCTTGTCAAGTCAGTAGGCATCTTCAAAGTGTGGTTCCTTCTTCATCTGTCAAAGGAATTCCAGGTTGTGTGCAGAAGAGGGGAGGGGACAGGGCATGGGAAAGGGCTTTCAAGGACTCTGTGAGTGGGATGGCTGTTATTAAAATAAAATATAGTCACAAATTTGTGTGCCCAGGCTTCCCTTCCTTGGGACTCCTGACTCAGCTTAGAAGTCACCTCCCACCGGAAGAGCCTTCCCGGAGTATCCCCATTCCCTCTAGGCACCCATAGCCAGCGCCCCAGTGTCAATTTAACGTAACATTTGTAAAGCTGTGTGTCGTATAGAGCGGAGGTTCTCAATCCTGGCTGCAATTGACGTTTAAGATTTTTTTTTTGAGAGAACACTCAAGTGGGAGGAAGGGCAGAGGCAGAAGGAGAAGCAGACTCCCTACTGAGCAGGGAGCCTGATGCAGGGCTGGAGCCCAGGACCCTGGGATCGTGACCTGAGATGGAGGCAGACACTTAACCGACTGAGCCACCCAGGCGTCCCCTGCATTTGAAGTTTAGAATGGGCAAGATTTTTAAAATTATCCATGCCTGGGTCCTACTCCCCAGAGTCCAATTTGATGCCGGGTGCAGCCTAGGTATTGGGTATTTTTCTTAACGCTGTGTTTGCGTGGGTGTCTCTCTTTCTCTTCTAATGTGTAAGCCCCCCAAAAGCAAGGGCTGTGTTTTGTTCCCTCCATCTGCCCAGATCCCAGTACCTACTGTGTTCAGTATTAGTTGCAGGCAGAGGGCCACCAGCCGGCTGTGTGCCCTGTAAACTCACCCAAGTGTTGCTTTTTGAATGCCTTATGCAGGATCTGAGAATCTTCTGGAAACAGACCTGAGGAGAATGGAGGGAAAATGCTAAAAAGGTGAAGGGGCTTGTGAGTCCTCCAGGATATGGGTGCATTGCCAAAGGGAGGATAAAATTGGTACAAATTTCATGGATGTCAATTAGGGAATAAATGTATTAACAGCCTTAAAAATACACAGTTCCACCTAAACATGTATCGTAAGCAAATAGTTAGAAAGGTCGAGTATTCTGTTCGCATAAGGGTGTTTATTGCAGCATCCTAGAAAAAAAAAATAGGTAATAGTCTGGATGTCCAACTCTAGGGGATTGGCTAAATAAATTCTGGAACATGCAGCCCATTCGAGCAACTATGTGACCACTAAAAACTCTTGCTTAAAATATTTGATGTCATGTGGAAATGGTTATGATAGTAAGTGGTGAGTGGAAAAATAGGAAAATTCAAACCATGTACAGATTATGACCCCAGTTTCACTTTTTAAATGTTTATATGCCAAAGAGAGTGAAAATGAACTGACTAGAAGGGGTGGATCCCAAAAGGCTAGCTCTCTGGGTGGCACAATTACGGGTACAGCTTTTTTCTTTATACTTTTTTTTTTTCCTCTTCAAAATTTTCTACCGAGGTGTCTGTTACTTTTAAGATTAAAAAATAAAGTTATTTGAAACTTGGGAGAGAACTTGAAGCAGCACAGGATGGTGGTTCACCTTCCAAGTCAGAGGCTTGTTGCCACCTTTATTTATTTTTAAAGATTTTATTTATTTGAGAGAGCATGTGTGTGCATGTGCAGCGAGAGAGCAGGAGCAGGGGGAGGGGCAGAGGGAGAAGAAGGCTCCCCGCTGAGCAGGGAGCCCGATGCTATGCGGGGCTTGATCTCAGAACCCTGAGATCATGACCTGAGCCGAAGGGAGATGCTTCACCGACTGGGCCACCCAGGCGCCCTTGCTGCCACCTTTTAGAGAGGCAGGTCCTCACCCTGCCATTTGAACTAAGTTCCTCGGGCCCTGAAGTTTTGTGCTGAGAGGTCTTGAATGGCCCCTAACATTGGGGCCTATGGCTGCTAGTGTGTCATTTAGGGAGAATCTTGGGCAGAAATTGGAGTACAGAGGGAAGCCTAGGGTCCCCGCCTCTGACCCACACAAAGGAGAGTCCCAAAGTACGGGACGACGTGGGCTTGGAGAGGGATTAAGCTTTTTCTGGAACTCAAGAGAACCCCATCTTCTTGGGGAAAGACACTGTTGGCCTAATCAGAAAGCCAGGTAGTGACGTGACTCACATCATCCTGCTCTGGTTTGGGGACCCATTTTGGAGCTACAGAGACATTCTAACCCATGGGCCCTGCCTCACTTTCCTCAAATGCTGAACCCAGGGCTGTGATAAGGGGATAGGATCCTAAACCTTAGCCCACTCAGAGTTGAGTTGTAACAGGACTTTCTGGGCCCCCATAATTATAGCCTTCTCTGAGTGGCTTCTTCATGTAGTGGATTTTATTTGCTATCACAGCAACCCTGAAAGGAAGATTTATTGGTATTAGCCCCAAATGACAAATAAGGACACTTAGGCTCAGACTGGTGACCTCACTGCCCAGTGCTCTCCATACAAAGATAATAAGAGACCAGAAATTGGTCAGCAGGTAGGATGGCAAATGAGTGGCTCGCTAAGGAGGGCCAAGGCCAGAAGTGGCTACTGCCCGAACCCTCACCTCTTCTGGCAGCCTGAGCCCGTAGGCCTTTGGGGCCTGAGCTGAATGAGGGAAGGGGATCCCCAGGCCTTTGCATGATGGATTTGGGAAGCATTCTTCGGTTACTTGTAATGTCAGTGCTTATTGCTTTGAAAAGCCCTCTGCTTTATGTCCCTGACACAAGTAAGATCTGATAGCAGGACAGCTAGAAAGATAGGGAAAGAAAATAGGAAATATAAGGTGTCTTCATGCTCTATGTGGTACCCAAGTCTTTTTATGGAATCTAGCAATGTGTCCATTTCAAAGACTTCTAGCTCTGGAAAAGTCTGAAACTGGCAACCTCTCTTACAAAGTAAGGGCCCTTGCCTATGCTGTTTCCCCTGCATTCAGTGTATACTTCACCTGGCCAACACCTACTCACCTTTCATTTCTGAGCATAAATGCCATTTCCAAGAAAAGAAGGCCTTCCCTGCACTCCCCACCCCCGCCGCCCCTGTTTAAGTTAGAGTCCCCTGTTTCTTCCCTGTACTCACATTTGATGGAACCTACTTTATGTGAGCTTATCTATATATTTGTGTCCTTATTTATCATCTGCCTCCCCTCATGGGAACCATGAGCTCCAGCAGAGCAGGGCCTGTGCCCTGTTCTGCTCAGGTCTGCATACACAGAGCCTGGCACACTGTAGATGCTTAAGTATCTGGGGAACCAGTGAATGGATGAAGGGTCATTGCTAGTGCTGTATGCTCTTGGCCATCCACTGGAGGAGAGAGAAGAATGACTTCGTTCATGGCCAAAACTCTACTAGTGGCTAAATTTTCAAAAAGACAAATGCCAGATTTACCCAGTAAAAAGGGGTAGGGGCGAATAGGATCCCCATTATTACAAATTACCCTCAAAGCATCTAGGGCACTGCTGCACTGTTTGTTCAAGATTTGGAAACCTGCAGAGGGCAGGGACCAGATTCCAGTGTCCTGCAAGATAGATTCTCAGAGTTTGTCTTTTTTTTTTTTTTCCTTTTTTCTTTTTTTCCTCTCTCTCTCTTTTTTTTTTTTTTAAAGTAAGCTCTATGCCCATCGTGGGGCTTGAACTCACCACCCCGAGATCACGAGTTGCATGCTCTACCAACCAAGCCAGTCAGGCACCGCCCCCCACCTCCCTGTCAGTGTTTGTCTTAATCAGGCACTAAATCCATGTTGAATGAATAAATGGCCTTGGAGATGGATTGTCTCATTTTGCCCACCAGGCAGTTCATAAAATCAGTGGCCATCACTAGGGAGACCTGTGGTCTTGGACGAGCAGCACCAACATCACTTGGGAACTTTTTAGAAATGAGGATTCTCAGGGGGCACTCCAGACCTATTGAATTAGAAACTCTGGGCCTGGGGCCCAGGAGTCTGTGTTCTGACAAGCCCTCCAAGGGCATTCTGATGCATTCAAGTTTGAGATCGTCTGGCTTAAGGTTTTGGCCCATTTCGTTCTTCCTTCCTACTACCCTGTGATATATTTTAAGAAGCTTCATCTGTCTTTTATTGTAGTCGGCTTCCTGATCTTTCTTGGAAGTCTACAGGGGTATACACTGTAAATAGATGGCTACATCTAGTCTAGTTTCCCCCATTATACAGAGGAGAAAAGGGGGTAATGAACTTGGTTGGCCCAAGTCCCCCAGCAAGGTGGTGATAGACCGGGGGCCACATGCCAGGTCTCCCGACTTCCAGGCTCAGGCTCTCAGCTCTCTCCCCGACTAGATTGTGGGTTTGTGGAGGGCTGGAAACTGTGACTACTTGTTTCAACCCAAACCACCACCATTGCTGCGGGTACGGGTTACCTGTGGCCACGCCCCCACGGCCTTGCTCTGGTTAGAGCTGGGGGTGCAGCACTGTCCAGCTGCGGCACGTGCACGTGTGCGCTGGGGGCTACCCCGCCCCTTCCCCCCTCCCTCGCGGGTAAACTCCGGGCATCCATCAGTCTGTTAATTGCACTAATTAGAGATCGCGGAGGTGTTAATTGGAAAACCCTGGTATTGTGCCTGTTTGGGGAAGAAAACGTCAATAAAAATTAATTGATGAGTTGGCAGGGCGGGCGGCGCGGGTTCACGGCGAGGCGCAGGGTGTCGTGGCAAATGTTACGGCTCAGATTAAGCGATTGTTAATTAAAAAGCTACGGTAATTAATACTCCCTGCACCATATGTGCCCGCGGAAAAGGCACAGAGGTTTCTCCGCTTGTGAGGCTCCCGGCCCCTCTTCCTCTCACCCAAAACACCCTAGTCCTTGGGTTCTCCTTTTAGCCCCAAGGTGGGTAGAACCCGTCACTTCCGACCTGGGAGGGGACCAAGCAGACCAGGAAAGTTACAAGGAGGCGTCCCCTGTGGCATGCCCGCCAGGGTTCTTCGAAGGGCCAGGAGCCTCAGGGGAAGTGGGTGCCCCCAGCGGCCCGCAGCCTCCCCCAGAGCGGAAGAGGAGGCTGCGGCTTTGACCCAGCTTCCTTCCTTTCTTCTGAAGGCGTCTGCGGGAGCTTCGGGGCCTAGCCCAAGGCTCTGAGGTGCCCTGGCTCCCAGCCAGGGGTTCCCTGAGAGATGGGAGACTGGGGACCTGCCTAAAGGCGGGACTAGAGCCCCGGAGAGAAATCCTAGACCACCTAAAACAATTCGGCCTCAGTCACTTGCCCCTGTCCCCAACACGTGGTAGAAGAGGGGTCAGGGAAGGCTGGGGTGGGTGTGGGATGAGGGCCTCAATTTTAGCGAATCCTAGAAAGACCTAATTGCCCCCTCCTGACGTGCTGTATGAAGGAAGACCAACCAGGTGACTTGGGCAAGGGGCAGTGACTTGCCCAAGGTCACACAGCTGGCGCTTGAAACCAGATGGTCTCCTTCCCCGAGCTCTCCTCTTCTGCAGGAGTGTGTGGAGAGAGGGGGTGGGGGCAGGAGTGAAGGGAGGAGGGGTCTCTTGGAGGGTGCCCCCCCACCCCAGTCCCAGAGGAGGCAGCTCAGGTCCACATTAGGTGGAGCCCTTTGGGCAAGGAACCACAGCCGTGACTCAGATGGGCCCTTGGTGGCTCCCACCGGCCACTAGAATGCTGTGGCTTCATGTGCACATGCTGGGACTAGGGAGTTTTACTCCTGGAGCTTTCCAACTCAGAAAAGACCTCCAGGACCACCTCTCCATGTAGAAATGGGGAAACTGAGGCCCCAAGGAGGAAGGCAGAGGATTCACAGCTGGTGTGGCTGAGCTCAGGCCCCTGCCTTCTCCTAGCCAGGGTCCAGGTTCTCAGGGCACTGCTATCAAGGCCTGCCTCCAGCACTCCACCCCGGGGCCCGGCTGCCCCGGCCCCCAGAGCCTGAGCACCCACAGGGC